TATAAATTTCTTCATTTAACTCACCATTTAAGAAAGCGGTTTTCACATCCATTTGATGAATTTCTAGATTGTATAGAGATGCAATGGCAATTAGCATTCTAATGGATGTTATTCTAGTAACCGGTGAGTATGTGTCAAAGTAATCAAGATCTTCTTTTTGTCTAAAACCTTTGACCATAAGTCTTGCCTTGTGTTTGTCAATTGATCCATCCGCTTTCATTTTTCTTTTGAAAATCTACTTGTACCCAAGAGGTTTACAACCTGGTGGCAAATTCACCAATTCCCAAGTGTGATTTTGCAAGATGGATTCAACTTCACTATTGATAGTTTCTTTCTATAAAAGAGCTTCAGGACTGGACATAGCCTCTTTAAAAGTTAAAAGCTCATTTTCTAACAAAAATGTTAAAAAATCTAGACCAAAAGATTTTGAGGTTCTAGCACGTTTACTACGTCTAAGTTCCTCTTCTTTATTTTGATCTAGCTCTTGCTCTTGATCATGTTCATGTTTTTGATCTTGACTAGTAATAGCATTATGAGATCTTTTATTGTTACTAGTCGCTTGTCCAGTCTTATTTGAAAATACATGTTCAAAGAAAGATGCATTCCTCGATTCTATAACAGTATTTACATGATTTCGGAATGTTCTGATTTATGAATCAAAAACCGATATGCACTACTATTCTTGGCATAACCAATGAAAATGCAATCAATAGTCTTAGGACCTATCTTAGTATTTTTAGGACTAGGAATAGCCAGTTTAGCCAAACACCCCCACACTTTTAAATGTTTGTAGGATTATACTCTCTCATGCCACCATTCATAAGGTGTTTGACTTACTTTCTTTCGGGGTACTTTATTTAAAATATAATTGTTGAAACAATCTTCTGTGTAAATAAAATATAATTTGCAGAAAGTATTACTTCCCCCCACAATATTGTAGGAAAAATGGTGTTTTATATGGCTTATTTTGGGCCAACTTTGAGGCCAAAATTGAGTGGGTCCTAAACGTCTTTTGGAGTGGGTCCGAAGAGATGACGTGTTCCTTGTCGCGTAGAAAGTCACACGGTGAAGATGGGACATCAAAACCATTTATGAGTGAATGAGAAGTTAACGTCGTTTTAGGGTCTAACATTAATTTTTTAGACAAAATTCATTTGAATTTTTTCAAAAAAATTATTGTGAGAATTTAATTTAAATTTAAATTTAAATTTTGCTTTCCTAAAGATTGTACATTTTCCTTTATTGATTAAACTATTCAAATAGTTTAATAATAAAATTCCAACATTTTAAAAATTGTGCCACCAACAGATCTTTTTCAAACAGTTTGAAAATTTGATCTTTGCAACAGTCAGATCACTATTCAACAGTTTATCTGTTTGAATAGTGTGTGCACCTATTCACTTCAATTTGGTACTTGTTCGGGGTCAGGTTTTTGCCTATAAATTCAGACCATTTGCTGCAGTCTTGGATACGAAAAAATCTGTCTGAATTTTATTTTTCCATGTCCAGATTTTTCTATTTGCATTAATTATTCATATTACTTTTAGAATAAGTTTTCAGAGAGTTAGAACACAGGTTTGGTTTCATTTTAAAAAATATATTTTTGTTTAGTGAATTTTTAAAGATTTTTTTTACAAATATTCTACTTTTAAATTGTAATTTGTGAAGATCATTGTATCCTGGGAGATAGACGCCACTCAACCGTAAGCACCGTAGCAGGGCGAATCTGTCTTAAGGACAAAGTGTCACACACTCGACTTGGTCTTAAATTATTTATTCGGTTAAATAAATAAATTCGGTACGTTATTTATTTATTTTGTTTGAATTTATTTCTAATTATTTTATTTACACAGAAGATTGTTCCAACAATCTTAAGACAGATTCGAATTATTCTGTTTACAGAATTTTTCGTTTGTTTCCCTTTCTCTTTCTTCTTTTAAGAAAATTATTTTCTATGAATTTACAAATTAATATTCTGGTTGGAAAAACAAATAGTGGTTATATGCTATTTGACAGATAGTAGTAATATACTGTCTATTTTCTTTGACAACTAGTAGTAACATACTGGTGTTATTAACAATTTAGAATATATATTTGTGAAATTTTGTCAGAAATTATTTTTGGTTTTTAGAAATTTATTTCTAAGTGTTCTTTAATTAAAAAATTATGTTTTAGTTTTTTTTTTAATTATTGAAGTGAAACAGAAATTTAATTTTCTGTGTGGAATTAATTTAGTTAAATAAAATTTTATTTTATTTCCAAATTAATTGAAAAATAAAAGTTACATTCTTGTTTCTTTTATTTTTACAGAATTTCATTCTGTGAATTTGGATTAATTTTCTGTGTAGTATAAATTCTAATTATAATTTTGTTTATAATTTAGAATTCATGGCTACTGAAACAAATGCTCAAACAAATACTACTGTGGTGGTTACAATGACACCAACCTCCTCTCATGTGTTGACAGTATCGGTAAATCACAATGAGAAGCCAGAGAAGTTCTCAGGAACTGATTTTAAAAGATGGCAACAGAAAATGTTGTTCTATCTTACAACTCTGAATCTGGCTCGTTTCCTCTGTGATGATGCTCCTATTTCGAAAGAGGATGAAACTGACCGGCAAGTGGTTGCTGCGGTTGATGTCTGGAAACATGCCGATTTCTTTTGTCGGAATTACATCTTGAACGGACTTGACAACACATTATACAACGTCTATAGTCCTATCAAGACAGCAAAGGAACTTTGGGAGTCTTTGGAGAAAAAGTACAAAACGGAAGATGCCGGCTCAAAGAAATTTGTGGTTGGCAGATTCCTGAATTTTGTAATGGTTGATTCAAAAACTGTGATCATCCAAGTTCAAGATTTCTAACTCATTCTGTATAACATTCACACAGAAGGCATGTCTTTCAGTGAATCCTTCCAAGTTGCAGCCTTAATTGAAAAATTACCATAAGGCTGGAAGGAATTCAAGAACTACCTCAAACACAAGCGCAAAGAAATGTCTATGGAAGAATTAATTGTGCGTTTGAGGATTGAGGAGGACAACAACAATTCTGAGAAGCGGACTGGTAAGCATCCTATGGAGTCTAAGGCAAATGTGGTAGAACATGTTTCAAAAATCAAGAAACGAAAGTTTTCTGGAGAAAGTTCATCACAAGGCTTTAAAGGGGGAAGGGGGGAAATAAAAAGTACAAGTTTAATGGCAAATGTTACATCTGTGACAAAGAGGGACATCGGGCCAAAGATTGCCGCAACAAAGGCAAAAACAAAAGAAGAACAAGCAAGAAGCCTGCTCAAGCCCATATGACTGAAGTGAACAATATTTCCAATGATATAGATGATATCAATCTTTCTGCAGTTGTTTCCAAGGCAAATCTTGTCAGAAATCCTAAAGAATGGTGAGTGGACACAGGTGCTACTCGCCATATCTGTGCCGACAAAAAGATGTTCATATCTTATTCTACAGTGGACAATGTTGAACAACTTTTTATGGGCAACTCCTCAACTTCCAAAGTTGAAGGACAAGGGAAGATTGTTCTCAAGATGACATCTGGAAAGGAACTCACTCTCAACAATGTGCTGCATGTGTCGGATATTCGCAAGAATCTTATTTCCGGATCTTTATTGAGTAAGAATGGGTTTAAGCTAGTTTTTAGAGTGATAAATTTGTATTTACTAAGAATGGGATGTATGTAGGAAAATGTTACATGTCTGATGGCCTTTTCAAGTTAAATGTTATGACCATTGTACCCTCAGTTATGAATAAAAATACATCTTCTTCTTACTTGCTTGAGTCTTCAAATTTATGGCATGGTAGACTAGGACATGTTAATTATGGATCTTTGCGCAGATTAATTAATATGGGATGTTTACCTAAATTTGACATTGATTCAAATCATAAATGTGAAATTTGCGTTGAGGCAAAATTATCCAAAACTCCTTTTCATTCAATTGAAAGAAGTTTGGAACCACTTGAATTAATTCATAGTGACATTTGTGATTTTAAGTCAATTCAAACAAGAGGTGGGAAAAAGTATTTTATCACTTTTATAGATGACTATACTAGATATAGTTATGTTTATTTAATTCGAACCAAGGATGAAGCTTTGGAAACTTTCATTCAATATAAGAATGAAGTTGAAAATCAACTTGGTAAGAAAATCAAGAAACTTAGAAGTGATAAAGGTGGTGAATTTGAATCACCTTTTGGTCAATTTTGTAAAGAACATGGAATAATTCATCAAACCACTGCTCCTTACTCACCTCAGTAAAATGGAATTGCTGAAAGAAAAAATAAGACTTTAAAAGAAATAATGAATGCCATGTTAATAAGTTTTGGATTACCTCAGAACTTGTGGGGGGAAGCAATACTTTCTGCAAATTATATTTTATTTACACAGAAGATTGTTCCAACAGGACCATATGATACAGTCACCCGTGTGCTTAAGTAAAAGGTTCTGCACAAAATTGCGTACTGACTTCATCTTACCCCAGAAAACCTCCCACGCTTGGTTATTATAAAGCTTCCTATCTTAATGCTGTGTTTGGTTGAGAGATTTGAAGAGGGATTTGGAAAGGGAAATGGAAAAGGTAGGTGAAATGTGAAAAAAGTATACCTATATTTCACATAGTTTCACACATCTTTTCTCTTTCTTTCACTTTCCAAATCCCTCCCCAAATCCCTCCAACCAAACACAGCATAAAGTGTTCCATTAATCTTGCTTCAAACCCTTCTGTTCTCATTGAAATGTAATCTTTTACATGTTTCATCAATCACATTTTGGAACTGTGTAACACCTTCGCACCCACTCCGCCCAGCCAGGTATTTTTTCAGGCAGGACTCAAATCCAAAACCTAGGGTTGCAGCCTCATAGCACATACTACTGCTGTTAAGTGTCCAAACATTTGGGCTCATTGAGGCTGACATATTGCCTATTGGTGTCTAATACAAGCACACGGGTGAAACAGAAAGCATAGGAGAAGGAAAGAACTCAACTTTCATACATGCAGACAATTGTACCTTTATATAAAAAAAAACTGCTGAACATGTGCATCCAGCAGATGAATATAATCAATCACAACATGAAAACTGATGCTGTGAAAAGAAACAATTATAGTGGCTAGTTCGGCGATCCTCCAGTCAACGCATATATAAAGAGAAACAGACTAATGTAAAACTCACATGATGCTGCTGCTCTTTCTCCATGCCCATGGAACCCAACAGGAATACCATTCTTGTCTTATTCTTCCATCAAAGATGCACTTCAATTAGAAGTAGGTGAGGTAGAAACAGAAATACGCTTAAGGAATGCAGCGCTGATAGAGGGGCAACGCTCCCAACGCTTCACGTTCAGCATTCTCTCTCTTCACCTGCAAAGTACAAGATATATTAAAACATTGTTCATGAGAATGTCCACTACACACAAAGGCAAACACCAAGAGCCAATAGTCTGGTTTAGAAAATAGAACCCCAAACAAAACAGACTGCCAAAATACAAATCATAAGAGTACCACCTTACTGGGTTAAATAAGCAACAGAAACCAACAGAAGAGGGAAAACCAATGCTTCCTAATTCACATCTTTGTTGAAAAATTTACTTTTGTGATTTGCTAGGCATATTGAATTGAATATAAATGATGCAATAATTTCTTCTAAATTACTTGCAAAGAATATGCTAAGAAGCATGGACATGCCCAAACAAATATCGGACATGTGCAAAACATGTCCAAATGTTTTCCAAATTGTTTTAGAGCAGGACAGAGTCTCTTTATGAGGGTAAAACTGTGTACATCTTACCCTCTCTAGACCCATTTTAGCAGGAGCCTCATGCACCGGGTCGCCTTTTTTTTTTTAGAGTTGAAACACTCTTTGGATTCTTGGAGAACATGTGTCTAATCACTTAAACACACAAAACACAGTAAATATATAGATAGCCAATTGTAAAAATTAAAACAAAACATAATTAACGTGGCATGAATTAAAACTGGAAAATTGGCGTGGCACCAAAAGGCTCTCTTTTTTCATATTAGAAACAAGCAAAGACAGTGAAGAATGACATTAAAGCAATCAAAACACCAATCATGCAAGACTTCCCACAAAAATTCGTATTAAAATAAAATGTTTATTTCGATTTGCTATCTTATGAGCAGTGATATAATAAAGGAATAACAACTACAACAAAAAATTGTGGTAATTTTCCATAATAAAATCATTAAACCTAAGATAAGTAATAAAATCAGAATAAGAAATAATAGATAAAGTCAACAATACTATCATACATTAAAAGGATGAAAACTAGTTATACATAAGAAATTGAAAGCAATATAGCAAAAGTACACGTAGTACACATATAACTTAAATATTTAAGCACTTACAAGGGCCAACATATCTTGAAGATAACTCCTAAATGGCGTCTGCATTTCCTGTGAGAAAGTAAAGTGAAAACATGAGTTGGGAACTAAAAAAATTAATATGCTTCAACACCAAAACTCATCTATTCTTAGAAATCATCATCAAGCATATGAACAACCAGCAGTTCGACAAATGTTTTTACTTTTTACAATCAATTTGTAGGGCAAAGTTCAAGGTGATACATCCTCATAAAAGAGTTCAAATAATTACAGAAAAAATCTCATTTCATGAAAAACAAGCCCAATTTGAGATGAACATCACACACATGCGCGCGCGCGCGCGCACACACACACACTAGAAGGATTGATGTTTGGAATTACAAGTGTGGATGAGAGAGGTTAGAGGCGATTGGTCGTTGACCTCTGGGAAGATTGTAGGCATTTCAATGGCCTGAGATCACCAGAGGTGGAAGAGGAGAAGACCAAGGCAGGCTTAGAGAGGAAAGGGGTGACAATGAGAGACTTTGAACACTTTGTATATGTTGTATGAATCTTCTTGTTCTTGTTATGATTGTGGCTGCATTTATGATGCCGTTATATAGACTCCAAGAGTATTCGAGCCCGAGCAACTTTAAGACGGGTGGCAAGTTCTCATCGACTCGACAGGAGAGTGATATCAACCCCACTAGCTGTGCCCTATGATTCAGGTCCTTGGGAAGCCTACATGATAGGAGCTACAAGTGTAAGTATGATATCTTGAGAGGCGTATCATATATGCAAGAGTTGTAAGGTCTATGTCCCCTTTCTCTAAGCCAGGTCAAGGTTGAACTGTCACTGCAGAGACAGTTACATGACCCTGACGATCCCGAGGTCTTAGCCTTCAATTCACAATCCTCCAATGATCCCAAGCAGGAGTGCCTAGGTCCTGCTCCCAACCTAGACAGCCAAGGGGGTGAATGCATGGGTAAGCCAATGGCTCATCTGAGCAATTGAGTAAACATGGGTGAGCCAAACATAAGTGAGCCAATGGTCTAACTATGTTGCTATGGAGCTGGGGTGAGTGGGCAGAGGATATATTTTTTATGAGTCATGAAGGGCCATGGAGAGATCTAGGTGAGCTAGCTCTATCAAGGTGAGTTGCGGTCCTATTTTCATACTTGGTGGTGTGCATGCCCCTGCTTAGGCTAAGCATATAACCTCAACTCATCGTGATGCCTCAGGGGTCTGCCACGTAGATGTGTGATGGTGATGATGTGACGCCCATAGGGCTCACCACGTGCCAAGCACAATATAGATATCCACAACAAGCATCCATGGTGACAATGTCCCCTCCAAGCCCCATCCATATTCCTTTCAACCTCCCTCTTGTCATTTTAAAAAATTTTAAATTTAATTGAGTCAATTCATTCATCCACACTGCATTAATTTGGCCCAAACAACAAATGATCAAACCATCTCAGATGACCTTTCATTCTCTAATCTTTGATTAATCTCACTTCTGAGTTCTATGAACACATTCTTCTACTAATATATATCTACATACATACATATATATATTGTGTCTTGCTTGTAAAAGAAACCCTGGCCTCTTCACCCCACATGCCCAAATTCAGGGAATATTCTTTTTAAACATTCAGGTACATATTCGAAAGGAATAGTAAGCTACACAAGCTAGAAAAGAAGAGAGAAGCTTGGGTAGCAAAAATTCAAGGATTTTACAGATATTTACAGACTTAAACAGAGTACATCAGAAAATAAAAAACAACTGAGAATGGCAGCTTTTGTCCGCATCATTCTTTTGTGGGGTAAGACATAATTACACCAAATTTTATTATTTGTTGCATCCATCCAAAGACGGTTCTCATAATATTTGGTTGCAAACAACAAACTCCAATATGGATAAAGCCATCCCCATGATGCAACAATTGCAATATCCACAGATCATAATAAAGAAATAAATGAACAAAACAGCCAAGACTTGGCAGTCCAAAAAAGAACAAAAAGAGCAAATTACAATAGCAGTCGGTTACCCATTCCGATGAATAAATTAACATCCGGGATACCTATTAACCGAGAACAGTGTCTGCTCTCCAACTTGGGTGCCAAAATTTCAATGCCAATGTTTGAATGGCTTAACAATAACTTGAATGCCAAAATTTCAAAAGGATAACTGGCAGCCACAGTCCCCCATTTTTCATGGGAATTGGGACCTTCCACTCATGTGTACTCTGTGCAAGCACACGTGTGTCTATGTGTTGGACACGCCACATTGTTTTAATATTATTTTTTTGCAAAACACGTTAAGGACACTTCATTGACACCTGGGACATGCATGTCCAGTGTTTTAACACGCCTCAGACATCTGTGAAGATTTTTTTATATAATTTTAGAAAATTGATTAGGGAGTAAAATAAAATATATGAAAACAAAGTGGGAGGAAAGTGAAAAAAATAAAAATATACCCACATATACATTGATATTTCTTATATTTTTGTGCCCTAAATTTATATTCAATATACATAGCAAATAAAAGTACATAAAAAAAAGTGTTTTTTTTTTTTTTTTTTTTGGGGTCATGTCTCCGCTGTGTCCATATCCTATTTTTTTCAAAATCATTGTGTCCCATGTCCATACCCAAGCATGTCTATGCATGTTTCACGCCCATGCCTCTTAGATTAGAACATTACCCAGCGGTGGTCTCCCTCTAATCAAGGGTACTATAAAGTTAAGATTGATTATCCTCTTAGATTAGAACATTACCCAGCGGTGGTCTCCCTCTAATCAAGGGTACTATAAAGTTAAGATTGATTATGCGAAGTGACTGCTCGTCCTCTTTGGTATTTAATTTATACAAAGTGTCAAAAATATAGTATTATCCTAAGACCCTAATGAAGCAAATAGGCAATTGATGAAGAGTATTAAAAGGAGGTTATGAGTGAAGAATCAAAATTACCATTTTGTCAAGGTTCCTACAATTCAGGTATTTCATGTTTATAAGCATGCATGGCTGCTTTCCAACAACTGAAAAGTAGAGCAGGGCACAGAAAGGAACAAACGATTCTAGTGGGTTCAGTACAAAGGATGGTGCTATTCCAAGAGCATGATTCTCACAATTGGCGGGAAGAACATTTAGCTAAATGAAGATCGAGGAATATGACCTGCTATCCACATACCACATTTCACACACACACACACACGGAGGGTATAATCAAGGGATATAGGTTGGAATTTCAAAATCAAATAGGTCAATTCAACCAAAAGCTTATCAAATATGCAATCTTGTTAAAAGATTACATTGTTTGGTAGTATAACAAATCACCATTATGAACGGTTAGGATTCTTATAAGTGATTGCACATACTCATCACTAACCTTAGAAATTCATCGCCCTCTGGTTTTTCATAATTATCTAAAAAGCCACACAACATGGTTCGAAGAACAAATCAATAGGAAACTGGAGGGCCCTCAAAATTTTATGTTCTTTTGTTTTGGAAGCAACCAAATGAATATATAAACCTGCAGTCACCTAAGATACCAACACAAGTAAGTACATTTAACTAACGTGAAAGTTTTTATTGTTTCTTTAGTAACTAAAAAAGATGCACCTTAAGACTTGACTCTTCTGCTCAAGGTTTTAAAAAGCGGCCGCAACCGTTACGTAACGCCGTTACGTAACGGTTTTGGTGGTTACCGCTACCCATTACGGCCGCTTTTGCAGTGTGATTGAGATTCACAGGTGTGTTGGCCGTAGCGGCTACCGTAGCGGTCATAATGGTGCCGTAACAGCCGTAATGGCCTATTACGCACCGTTACGTAACGGTTCCAAACTATTTCTTTCGAAAAAAAACACACAAAAAAAAGCTAAAAATGGGGGAAGAGGGATAGAGAGAAGAGGGAAGATAAAGAGAGAAAATGGAGGAGCAAGAGATAGAGAGAGAGAAGAGAGAAGATGAAGAACGTGTTATTGATTCGTTGAAGCTGTAAGACCTATGTTATTCTATTCAGCTGCTATCACTCAACCATTTTGTTTGTGTGTCCAGTGTTTTTAAAGGCTCAAGGCGCACTAAGACGCTGAAGGTCTCTCGGGGCCTAAGCGTAAGCCGCAAGGCGAGGCGCGGACTTTATTGAAGTAAGGCGCACAGTCTTCGTAAAAAATAGAAAAATTAACATAGACTAATCATTCATAGTACTAAGACAATTTTTTAAAAAATAAAAAGTAATCAAGATTCAAGACAAAATATAGAATAATTCTCAAAGTCATGAAAGTGTATATTACATAACATTCCAATTTTCAAAGATCAAATAATCCACATTCAATAAAATAAAAATAAAAACATAAACACTAAGCATCCAAAACATAAATATCTAACAAATACTAATATACGTCTTAACACTTAAAAACATCAATATCAAAAGAAAGGGTAAGTTATGTCGGTGTCAGTCAATCATCATCCTCAACATCAATGGCAACATCTTCTTCTTCATCAGTTGATTTATATCCCTCAACATCTTCCTTCTCTATGTCATCTGAGCCTGCTTCCTCTTCATCTATTAATTGAAGTCGAGTCAATGTTGATAATTTAGATATCCTCGGTTGTGCCTTTGAGCGTGACCTTGTTGCTCTACTTGCATAGCTACTTTCTTCTACTCCAGAAGCTCTAGCAACAGTGGCCCACGTCAAGCCATCATCATCATCAAACACAGGCTCATTATCTTCATCTGATTCTCCATCCATCCTCCCAAGCAACCACTCATTGCTTTCATCAATATTTTGCAAAGATATGGGATCAAGAGTGTTGCGCATGTTATACCTAAATCTCAATGTTCTATTGTATTTGACATACACTAAATCATTGAGACGTTATTGTTCCAATCTATTTCTTTTCTTGCTATGAAGCTGCAAGTATTAAAAAGATATTAAATTCTATTTAATGAGAATAAAAAATATTTGAATTGAACAAAAAATTAATTAGAATGTTAAATATTCACATGTTCGAATACACTCCAATTTCGTTCACAACCCGATGAACTACATGTTAGGCTAAGGACTTTTATGGCAAAAGTTTGCAAGTTTGGAGTATAAGAACCATATGATGCCCACCAATCAGCTGCGATAATCCACTAGTTAGAAATAATTGTTACCAAGTATTGAGTTTTACTAAAAGTTTTACTAAAAATAAACTCTATGAATCTATAATATATTACTTGGTGCTCTTGTATTTCTTTGCCTAATCGCAACAGACTTGCCAAAAAGACTCTCAACCTTCATATAAATACTCATCTCATTAGTGATCAAATCTTGAACAATGACATCCAGGACCAACCTTTGCATGCATTCATAAAACTCATTCATCACTTCATGATCTCTTTGCACCTAACGCTTTTGGGTAAAAGAATTCTGGGTTAAGAAAATGCGCAGCTGCATATAAAGGCCGATGCAATTGGACATCCCATCTTTTGTCAATGATTTCGAAGATTTCATTATACTTCTCTTCTTTATGATCAAATGAACTTGCAATGCATTCTTTTGCCCTATCCATTGCCTCATAAATGTATCCCATGGGAGGTTTCTTAGAGACTCAACTCAAATAATTGAAAAAAAAAAGAAAAAAAAAGAAGCAACAAAACAGAGCACTGAAGAAGGAGAGAGAGGAAGAGTCGAAGTCGAACACACGCACACCTGAAGAAGTCGAAGCCCAAAAAAAAAAAAAAAAAAAGGCAGAACTGAAGTTGAAGCAGAAGAATCGAAGTCGAAGAAGAAGGAGAAGGGGAGAGAGAGTCGAAGTCGAACAGACCTGCGAAGTCCAAGTCCAAGTCGCAGTCACAGTCGAAGTCTAGCTCCAGCAGCCCAGTCGAAGTCGAAGTCGAAGTCCAAGGCGGGGCGAAAGAGGAAGAGACGACACAGATTAGGGTTCATCTGAGTCGTATTTGGCTCATATGGTACATGAGTTGTAATCCTCTGTGATTACGAGCCTTTCGAACACACCCTTAGAGCCGTTAGATCATATCTACCTCTTAAACAATCAGTCGCGCCTAGGCGAGAGCCTTGCGCCTCTCTCGCCTGGCTCAAGTCGCGGCTAAGGCGCTCGCCTGGCTCAAGTCGCCTCGCCTGGGACCTGTACAGGCGCAAAGGGTGCGCCTCGCCTCAACTTGCGCCTAGGCGCGCTTTTCACAACACTGGTCACAGTGTCCTTGATGATTTATCCCTATTCTTGATTCTGAATCATTGCTCTTGTTTCTGTTTGCCGTGGATTTTCCAGATTCTTGCATCCAATCGTCGTTTCCATAGATCTAGGTTTGGGATTTGTTTGTTACCAAGTATTGAGTTTTACTAAAAGTATTACTAAAAATAAACTCTATGAGTCTATAATATATTACCTGGTGCTCTTGTATTTCTTTGCCTAATCGCAACAGACTTGCCAAAAAGACTCTCAGCCTTCATATAAATACTCATCTCATTAGTGATCAAATCTTGAACAGTGACATCCGGGACCAACCTTTGCATGCATTCATAAAACCCATTCATCACTTCATGATCTCTTTGCACCTCTAACGCTTTTGGGTAAAAGAATTCTGGGTTAAGAAAATGTGCAGCTGCATGTAAAGGTCGATGCAATTGAACATCCCATCTTTTGTCAATGATTTCGAAAATTTCATTATACTTCTCTTCTTTCTGATCAAATGAACTTGCAATGCATTCTTTTGCCCTATCCATTGCCTCATAAATGTATCCCATGGGAGGTTTCTTCTCGGTATCAACCAATCTAAGCACTTTGACAAGGGGACTCGAGACCTTAAGGGCAAACACAACAGTATTCCAAAATGAAGGCATCAACAAAGTTTGTGCCATTCTTTTACCTTGTGGCTCCTTTGCCCATTTGCTTGAGGTCCAGTCTTCGGAGGTGACCATCTTTCTCAAATTTTTTTTTTTTTGTTGATGCATCCTAGACAAAGTCAAAAAGGCGGTTGCAAATCTAGTTTTTGCAGGCTTGATTAAATTCTTCAAATTTGTATAGCGCCTCATCATGTTTAGCAACGTAGGCCGATTGTAAATGTAGCCATGTATTGCAATACCCCTTTCAAATGTCTTTTTCAGTCTAGGTATCTTGAAAATGTCTTCTAACATCAAGTCCAAGCAATGAGCAGCACATGGTGTCCAATACAAGTGTTCATACTTAGCTTCCAAAAACCTCCCTATAATGTAACAATAATGAAGAATTATTATTTTCAAGTTTTTAAATTTTAAATACAAAACAAATTATGAGTAAACAATTTTGATGTAAGGAATGAGGAAATATTCTTACCCGCCAACACATTAGCTGCAGCACTATCAGTGATAACTTGCACCACATTCTCTTTTCCAACTTTCTCCACAAACTTGTTTAGTAATTCAAATAGCTTTTGCCCATCCTTTGAATAGCTAGAAGTATCAACCGACTCATGGTTCCTCTTGGACAATTAACTAAAAAGTTAATCAATGTCCTTCCTCTCTTATCAGTCTAACCATCAGCCATTATGGAACACCCGTATTTTGCACAATCTTCTTTATAATTCTTCATCAAATCTTCAATATGTTTCACTTCTTTTTTGAGTTGGGTAACCCGCACTTCATGGTAAGTCGGTGGCTTCATACCGGGACCATATTGGCCAATGGCTTCAATCATTGGTCCAAAACTCTCATAATTTACTGCATTAAAAGGGATACCAACATCATACATCCACCTTACAAATCTTTGCACTGCCCGAGCTCTCATTTCTTTTTTGTAAGGGTCATTTGCATCAATTTTGGTTTGTTTTCCTTTTGCTTGGTCTCTTCGATTTTTCACCACTGATTCAAGATTGGGTGTGACGTAAACATCCATAGGCCCTTTTCTCTTTGGCATTTTTGATTTGGATTTGGATTTGGATGAACCTTGGCTACTACTTGTCAACTTACGGTGTTGATTGACATTGATCTCAACGACATCATCATCTTCATCTTCATCTTCCCTGTCCATGTCATCGAAATCAGGCAACATGTTCATTTCTTCTTTTTGTGTCCTTTTTTTTTACATGAACTCTTTAATCTCTTCTCTTACATGAGAAGGACACTTCGGGCAAGCAGTGAAATTCCTATAACCTCCCGTGAGGTGTTGTTTCACCCGATAAACACCTCCATTTGATACTTTACCACAAAAATTACACTCGAACTTGTTTAAATTATTCTCCTCTACCAAATGGGCATATTGCCACGCCAGATCTTTTCTATTACTTTCCGATGTCATTTTCTACACAACAAATTTAATAAAGGAAAAATAATTATATTAAAAGAATAAATGGAAAACAAATTTAATCCCTAACAGATAAAGGAAAAAAAAAAGACCAATACCACATTGTATTAATTAATTATTTGTAATTTTTTTCCCTAACAGACAAAGGGAAAAAAATATCAATAGCATATTACAAATAATTAATTATTTGTGAATAATTAATTATTTGTAATTTTTTTTCCTTAACAGATAAATTCTTCTCTTACATATTACAAATAATTTTTTTTCCCTAATTTTTGTAATTTTTTTTTGTAAATTCTTCTCTTACATTTTTTTTCAGAGACTCAACTCAAATAATTGAAAAAAAAAAATTAAAAAAAAAGAAGAAGCAAAACAGAGCACTGAAGAAGGAGAGAGAGGAAGAGTCGAAGGCAAAACAGAGCACTGAAGAAGTCAAAGCCCAAAAAAAAAAAAAAAAAAAAACTGAAAGTCGAAGCAGAACTGTAAGTCGAAGACGAAGAAGAAGGAGAAGGGGAGAGAGAGTCGAAGTCGAACCTGCGAAGCTGAATTCGAACCTGCGAAGCCAAAGTCGAAGTCCAGTGTCGCAGTCACAGTCACAGTCGTAGTCGCAGTCGAAGTCCAGCTCCAGCAGCCCAGTCGAAGTCGAAGTCGATTGCAAGGCGAAAGGGGAAGAGACGACTTCGATTAGGGTTCATCTGAGTCATATTTGGCTCATATGGTACATGAGTTGTAATCCTCTGTGATTACGAGCCATTCGAAAGGTTCATCTGAGTCGTTAGATCAGATCTACATCTTAAACAATCAGTTGTGCCTAGGCGAGAGCCTTGCGCCTCTCTCGCCTGGCTCAAGTCGCGGCTAAGGCGCTCACCTGGCTCAAGTCGTCTCGCCTGGGACCTGTACAGGCGCAAAGGGTGCGCCTCGCCTCGCCTTGCGCCTAGGCGCGCTTTTCACAATGCTATTCTATTCAGCTGCTATCACTAAACCATTTTGTTTGTGTGTGTCTATCTATATATTATTTGAAAATAATAATAATAATAATAAGTGTGATTATTATCTATTTGGTTTGGTTAAAATATGTATATATATACATATATATTTAGGCTCTTATTTATTCTTTTACTTTTGTCATTATTTATTTTATATATAATAATTAGTGATTGATTTTTTGTAAAATATAAAGTCATTAATTATTAAAATTAAATGTAAAAAACTCAGTTTATAGTGATTTAAAAATATGAAATATATTAGATAATACTTAAAAATTTATAAAAATTGATCAATATTTATTTTAAACTCAATAAATATGATCATGGAAAAAAAATATGCGTATTGGTAAGTTTTTTTCAAATTGTGCGAAAAATAAAAAAATTCACGGTTCTGATTACCGCAACCGTTACGCTACGGCCTTTACACCCCGCAACCGTAACCGCGCTGCCGCCACCATTACAGCGACCGCAACCGCTTTTCAGAACCTTGTCTGCTAGTCAATTTCGGTTAAACAGCTTCTTCTAGTTTCTTTCCTTCCCCTAACATCCCATCTAGATTGAGGGGTTGAGCGAGAAAATAAAAGAAATGGAGAGAGAGAGAGAGCTATTATAACTTGCTTGGATATTTGGAAAGGTTAGAAATGGTGAGAAAGGAGGAAAAGAAGTCTCTTAAAACTTCTGTTTCATTTCTCATCAAAATTGGTAAGATTTGGAGAGAAACAAAACTTGTTGTATATAAAACTTTCATAATACTTATTGTCTGTCCTATCTAGTTATATTTATATACTATCTATACTACTACATATAGCAGACAACTCACGAGGTTTTGAAGCTTTGCAATGCCTATTTTCCCGAGAAATTATTCATCCTGGAGCAAGTCCAAGTGGTGCTCCAATTGAGTAGTTATTGGTTTAAATCGTGAGACCTATTAGTTTATGTTAGAATTTTAGGAGACAAAGTGTTAAGTATCAACCTGTAAACGGAATGGAGCATTACTCCAGGAGCATTAAATAATTTCTCCTATTTTCCCCCCAAAATACCCATACTATTAACTGCTTCAGAAAATAACTGCTAACAGTTATTAAATTCAGTCATCTTCTTCATTCATCAAATCACCAAAGTGTATAATTACAAAAGCATTCTGTTTGCACCCACCACTAGTCTATCTAAAAAATGCAAAGCAATTAAAATGAAAAATGTGTCCACTTTAATTTCTTCTCATATCATCCAAGCAAAATGGTGAGAAACCACATTCATTTCTTTTTCTATTCTCACCAAATGGACTCTAATAAATGTCATCATCAATGAAACAGATTATTAGAACAAATCCTTATCCTTCCTTTACCTATATTTTCTGAGCAATTTACCACATTTTATCCAGATACCAAAGAGAAGCAATCAGCTTGCTTGGTTCCATTTTTCCAAAATCACTTTTTAGATAATTCTATTTTCTTATTTTTCGTATTTTTTTTTTGTTTTTACTGAATTTTTTTAATATTTTAAGCATTTTTTTTTACTTTTTAGACACACCTAACATAAATATAACTAAAAAGTAAAAAATTTGTAAATTTTTAAAAAAAAATTCACTAAATACCAAACATACAAAAAAAAATACAAAAATTTAGTACATTTTTTGTATTTTTATGTATTTATTAATTTTTTAAAATATTTTTTCACAAATTTTTTACTTTTTAGATACACATCTAAAAAAAGTAAAAAAAAATACTTAAAATTTTTAAAATATTCACTAAAAATAAAAAAATACAAAAATAAAAAAAAAAAACTCAATTTTCAAACACAAACCAAACACATTGAATATTTTCTCTGAAAAAATTCCTGCATTTTCCCAGCATCCAAACAGAGGGAGTCAAAGAGAGAGATACCTGCAAACCATTGGGGAGGTACTCGTGCTTCATGGAGAGGTCCATGGCACGCTTGAGGCGTTGGCTCCTCGCGTCCACGATCTCTCGAGGAAGGCGATTCAAAGCTTCCTTCACGTCCAGATCGTAATAGGGGTCGTACAGATCGTCGTATCGAAGACCTTCACATACACATTAACGAATCAAAACAAACATATATTGAAACGGAAAAAAAAAAAAAAAAAAAAGATATTGAATCTATCGGGCAAACCGTATCTGCGGAGGCGTGTAGAGACAGATTTCATGTGTTGAGCAGCAAACCAGTTCTTCTTTGGGTCTACGAGCCACTTCGACAATGACGACGCCATTGCACTTCACCTTCTCTCTCTCTCTCTCTCTCTCTCTATCTCTCTCTCAACAGTTTTGATATCCCTGCGATCTCCCCTTCTTTCCGGAACCAAAATTGGAATAAGGCCGTTGCCCTAGGAAAACGGTGTCGTTTTCGGATTTTTCAAATAAAATTTCAATTTTCAATGTTTTTTTTTTTTGTGTCTATTTTTTTAAAAAATAAATTCATATTTTAACCCGTATAAATGATGATTCTTAAGGGTGTAAAAATGATTTGCCCGCTTGACTAGGTTCAAAGAACCCAGCCTAGCCTAGCCCAGCCTGGCCCGGCTCGGCCTTTTCCCATCTAGGATGTAGGCCATATTTTTTTGATTTTGCCCGGCCTTAGGCCTGACTCGTTCAACACCTAACGTCACCTTTCAAGTTATTTTGCTAAAATAATAATAATAAAAAAAGGTCAAGTCTAGGCCTGGGCCCTAAAGCTCGTTTATCCTTGGGTTTGAGTTTAGGTCTGGACCTAGAGTTTTTAGAACTACATCAGCTTGATCGGGCTTGATTTTGGTAAAAGCCTGAGGCTAGTCGAACCGGTCTGATTTTACACCTTTAGTGGTTCTATTAGAGCAAAAATGCTTGGTAGTTCGAATTTGTATGGTCCGAATGATTCAAATGTATCAAAACGACGTCGTTTTATCCAAAAAACGACGTCGTTTTATCCAAAAAACGACGTTATTTTGAGACATTCGAGTCATTCAGACCATGAAAATTCGAGCTACTAAACATTGTTGCTATTGGAGCCATAAAGACATTTGTTGGTGGAAATTCTTTAGGTTTAAATTTAGGCCTCGTTTGGGGAGTGGCTATTTTAGCCAAAAAGTCAAAAAATCAACTAAAACTTGTCACAACACCTTTCTACTTTTCTGCATATCTTTTCGTAAAAAGCCAAAAAGTTACTAAAATAGCCTGTTCCCAAACCAGGCCTTAGTTCTATAAAAACCACCAATCTATTCAAAAAAAAATTTATCTGTTCAATTTTTTATTTTATCTATTCAAATTTTCATATACATATATATAAAGAGAGAAAAGAGAGAGGAAAAGGGGTATTTGTTCAATTTTTTTATCTGTCCAAATTGGCATTTGCGAAAACAACCCAAAAGACCCATCGACATGAGTCCGGATCATCTATCACCCTTCATACTTCGTTTTGAAGCAAAATTTCAAAATAAAATAAAAATAGAGTAGCAAAGCAGAACCTTCCTTCCTTTATCTTCTTATTTTTCTAGCTCTTTTTTTTCTTTCTGTAAAACTACCAACTCACCCATAGCCGAGCTCCTTTCTCTCTCTCTCTCTCTCGATCTCGCCACCAACGACAAGCCACTATCTCAATCTAGAAATCATAAAGAAATTGATAAAGAAATTATAGGGATGAAACGGAAATCATAAAGAAATTCCTATTCATTGACTTTTTCCCATTTCTTTCCCATTTTTTCATAGTTTTATATCCTCTGCTTAGACTATTGGAGGTTTCTAATCACCAACAACATATTTGATCAATATAGTAAATGGATATGAAAAACCAAAAATGAGAGTCTTTAACTATCCAATTTTTCCATCATTTTATATCCTCTGCCTAGACTACCATAGGTTTCGACTTACCAACTACATATTTGATTAAAATAGTAAATGGAGTCATCAAAATAGACATATAATCTTGCTCGCTGAGTAACTAATAGCAAAGTTCCTTTATAAGACCTCATCAAATCTAGACACATAATCAACTTCAAAGTTTCAAACACATACAAACACACTCTTGAGAGTAAGAGCTCTAAGTAACAAGTGTTGAAATGGCAGAACAAGTGAAGTTGTTTGGTGTTTAGGGAAGCCATTTTGTTTGTAGAGTTGAGATTGCTCTGAAAATGAAAGGCGTTGAATATGAATTCATTGAAGAAGTCATGTCGGCCGGCCGTCTCGCCCTTTCTATTCGTCGTCTCTCTCTGTTCGTCTCTCGCCGCCTCCCCTTGTCTCACCGTCGTCTCTCATTACCTTGCCTTGCCTCCGTCGCCTCGATGGGAAACCACATCGCCCATATAGCCCTTTATATTCGTTACCTCTCTGTTAGTCTCTCTTAGAGGGGCTAGCATTCAAAAACGAAAAGGGGTTGAAAAACAAAATAAGAAGGAAATATATATATATATATATATATCTCCAAAACGACGTCATTTTAGAACGATGCAAGAAGGGTCGCAGGGAAGGGCGGTCGATGATCCGGACTCCATCGACATTTTCATGCTTCACCGGCTGGATTATCATTATAATCCAAGTCATAACATCTCTCTGCGGCATTTTCTTAAACAGAAACCGAGCATTGTCCATCTCACCACAACTTGCATACAAACGAACAATCGAGTTCCTCAAAAACAAACCCATAAACAATCTTACCATTCAAAACATCCAATAATTATGTGCAAGCCTTGAGAACAAAACAATAAGTGAAAAAGTCAATTCTTGCTAAAATTGAACTGTAACTTGCTTTTTATTTGATCATAAAACATCGTAGTATCATGATGGTGAGATGAATTCTCTCCCCCTCGCTGATTTGGGTAGTTTAGAAACCCCTGCAAGATCTCGATCTCGTCTTCATCAGTCTAACGTCGTTAAAACAGTCTTAGCGAATCATCCAACACCGCGAGAGGCTTATTCTCGATAAGCGTGACGTCATCGATGCGTTGACGCTTCGGATCGAGAACAAAGACAGTGGTGGTGAGGAAGAGAGTTTGGGGGCGACGGTGACGGGGATGAAGGCAAAGTATGGGGTTGTTGGGGGCAAGACTAGGAGAGGAAGTGTCATCATCTTTTTTTTTTCTTCTTTTTCGTTTTTGATTTCCTTGTTATCAAGGTCTGGTGGGGGGGTCTTCGCTCTCATCATCGTCTTCGTCAAGATCTTCCTTGCCACCATAAACGGTATGGTCATCTTCGTAAGCCATCAGATATATAGTAGATGTGTAAAAATGGCCCGAGACCCATGGGCGGCCAGAAACCCGCCCGAGGCCTAAGGTGGGGCCGGCCTAACCCAGTACGTTAGGCCTAGGCTTTCCATTTGTGGTCCGACCAGGCCCAAAAAATTTCGGGCCTTGCATGCAGCCGAGCCCGGCCCGCCCATCCGACCCTCTCTTTACCAATGGTCAAATTTCGAGAAATAAAAATAAAAAACAACTTGCAACAGTTAAATAATTAAAAAAAATAAAAAGATTGATCTTATAAAAATAAAAACAAAAACAAAATAACATAATAGTTAATAGTTAATAAGTGGGAGCTTTATTCATAAATCTTATTTCTAAGACTTTTATACCATAAAACCCAAATCATTTTTTATTATTCCATTAGGTCCCATTCAGTGTAGTAAGACCAAAATACGCTCTCATTTCTCCCGCGCATACTCCATTTTGAAAACCCAACCATTCCTATTCCATATCTTCACTCCACAACACATTCATTCCCCCAAAAAAACTCATCGTTGGCACAAAAAATTCCTAAACTGTAACCCTAGATTTCACATCGCCTCACCACCGTCATCCTCTACCGCCAACCATCGCCGGCCACTACTATTCCACATCAACGCACCACTGCAAAGGTTTACATCGAAAGGATTGGGGTTCGTTCTTCCTTGGTTCTCGCCGGCTGTCGATTTACATATCCCATCCACAATAAGGACTAAAGGTAAGCACAATCATTCCACTCTCTGTTTTTCAAACAATGATAATATAATCTAATCACAAATGTATATGTTTACATTGCCCCTATTATTATTGTTGTTTTTGGATTTCATTTTGTAATGAAATCCCTATTTTCACTCTTTGTCCATGTTGGTGATTTTGATTTTTTGTTGAATGTGAATAACATTAACAAACAAATGTATAATTTACATTTCTTTGTTATTAATGTTGTTTGTGGTTATAATTTGGCAATGAACTCTGTTTTTTTCCCTTTGTCAATGTTTGTATTGCTGATTGTTGATGTCCATAGAACCTCCAATTTCTCCTCAAATTGAAATATGATGAAATATGATGTAAACATCATATTGACAAATGTACAATATTTACAGGGTGATCGAATATAATGTGAATATGGTGTAAATATTGACATTGATGTAAATATCTACTTCAATATCAATATTCATAGTATGAATATAATGTAGATATGCAACTTCTAACATTAATGGAATATGATGTAAATATTTACGGAGTTGTTGGTATTATTGCTTGTTGATAGTTATAAAGCAATTAGAGCCCCTAATCTTTGATGGTTGTCAACCATTTTTTTGTTCAATGTGTATATCATTATACATGATGTCAATATTTACATCAGACTATTAAATATTGGTAATGACTTATTTGTCTTAAATTGTCATGTGTTATTGTTTTGTAATATACTCATTATCTCCTCCTTTATGTCAATATCAGAGTTGTTAGTATTGTTGGTTGTTGATGGTGATGAAATAATTATATTATATCCTGAACATAATGTCAATATTCACATTCTGACATCAATGTCAATATTCACCTTCTGATATCAATGGAATATGATGTAGATATTGACAAAGTTATTAGTATTGTTGCTTGTTGATGTAAAGCCCCTAATATTAAATGGTTGTTAACCCTCTTTTGGTTCAATCTGATTTCCATTGTACATAATGTGAATATTTACATCAGATTGTTAGATATTGGTAATGACTACAAACCAATGGCAATATTAACAACACAAGACTGTACCCATCGCACACATTTGCATCATGTTTGTTTTTGTTGGTTTGTTGTAGTATCATGTTGGGTTGTTATGTGTTGTAACCTGTTCATGTGAACATTCACATAATATTTCACCATGATCATCTCATTATTCACATGACATATAATTTACAGTTATTATCACTATTCATTTACGAACAGTAATGTTAAATTTGTTTGTATTTGAACAAACAGGTGTTTCCCATAAATTTCAAGGCGAAAGAAAGAGAGAGGAAGCTTATGTCAAAGGCAAACTTGATCAAATAGCTAGTCCTGAACAAGTGAACATGAAAAAGGTCAACTACCAGTCTAATA